TTGTGGAAGCTTTTTGGATGAGAAGTGAAATATTTTCAAGAAAAAAACCAAAAAAAACCCTCTAGTTGCTTTTCAAAAAGCACCTTTGAGACAACCATGATCGTCCAGATCATGGACACTGGACTTTGGGACCTTTGAGTAATTAAACCAAATTGTCCCCTGGCCCCATTTCCTCTTTGCAATCTTCAGTAAAGCAGTTGGAAGAGATGTCATTATTTTCACTTATGCCGATTCAAAAACAATGACAGCATAAATGGTTCACCCTGATTTCACCCAAGAGGGAAAGAATAAAGAGAGAAGCGGGTGGCACTTTGCACTCTGAAAAAGTGGAAAGAAATGGGATTGAACCCCTGCTGGCTATACTTCTACCACTCAGGGGGAGCTTCCAAGCTATCAAGCTACCATTCCATACACTTATCCATTGCAAACTGGAAATCGTGGCATTAGCATGTTATGTACATGCTGAATTATGATGAATAACCATATATTAGATAAGTGAATATATCCACTGTCTTACCTTTCTGTTCACAAGCCAATCTGGTGAAAAGGGAGGGAGGCAAATAATGGGAATGTTTTGATCAATCCTGGGTTGCAATCCTAGAATAGAATCCTAGGTTGCATTAATAGAGGGATATAATGAAGATCACGTGAAGTATAAAGCTTTTATAAAGTCTTAGAAAGACCACATTTGGAATACTGCATCCAGTTTTGGTCACCACATTATAAAAAAGATATTTGGACTCTGGAAAGAGAGTGCAGAGTAAGAGCAACACAGATGTTTTGGGGCCTGGAGGCTAAAACATATGAAAAAAGGGTTGCAGGAATTGGGTATGTCTAGTCCAGTGAAAAGGACTAGAGATGACATGATAGCAGTCTTCCAATGCCTAAGAAGAGGGTGGGGCCAGGTGTCAACCTATTCTCCAAAGCACCTGAGGGCACGTCAAGAAGCAATGGATGGAAATTAATCAAGGAGAGAAGCAATCTAGGACTAAGGAGAAATTTCCTGTCAGTGAGAACAATTAACCAGTGGAATAGCCTGCCTCCAGATGTTGTGGATGCTCCATCACTGGAGGTTTTTAAAAGAGATTGGATAGCCATTTGTCCAGAGTAGTATAGGGACTCCAAGGAAGGTCCCTTCCAATTCTGTTATTCTGGTGGGAGAGGTGACACAGATCCACGTTCTTCAAGTTACGTGGCAAATGTGATTGCTGTGTCATTATCATGTTGTTCATAAAATGATGCATGAATCAGTTTCTAGAGAAAAATATGGTTTATGCCTCCTTCCCCCACTCTTCCTTCCATAAAGCACATTTGATTTTCCGCTTATTCCCCTCTCCTTCGCAGCTTAAACTCTCAACTCCCCAGGAATCCAAATATCTCTTGTAATTTAGGTTTCCATAGGAACCAATAATTTCAGTACTGCCTAATCCTGGTTTGTTCAGAAGGTCAAATGGAAGACCCTGAAAAGAGCAGTAATTATGTTTTCTGGTTTTGCTTTCCCATGAATTATGGATGTGTATAGAAGAAAAAGCTTGTAAAGTCCATCTGTGGTTGCACCAACATTTGGTGCTTCTTGAGGCATTCCAGCTGCTGCAAAAACCAAATTTGGGGATGTTGTGTTGTCAGGAGTTTTGATTATTGTGAAAACCAAATTATCACTCCCCACATCCCTCCCAAAACCTCCACACATATTAGGACCATATTTCCCCATTTTAATTACATGAATTAAAGGTATCAGATATGATTGGTGAATTTTAAATTTTATTGTTACCTTAAAACACACAGAAAGAAAGCAACTGAGATATTGATTTCTCAGTGGCTATGTTTGCATCATATGCTAAGCCATGATCTCCTTAACCATCTTTTAATGAACTGGCTGGGTGTAGACCACTTGATCATGTCACGTGACGTATCATGGCATATCACAATGTTTTTTTTCCCTTTGTGGAGCTGGGCCTGACCTGCGTGTGAGGGATTCAGCCTGCGGGCCACCGGTTTGACAGGCCTGGACAGTACCTGAGTCAAACACATTTTAGCCTCATATGTTTTGTGAACCAGGCCAACCTGAGAAATTTTCAAGCAGCTAGACCACCCCTAAAAACTACCTCCCCTTCCCCACTTACGTTCCTACTGCCTAATCAAGCTGTTAATTATTTAAAACTGGCAAACGATTAGGTATTCTGATTTTAGAAGCGCAGAATTTGGCATCTTTCCTGTAAGCACAGGGCTCAGATGAGGATAAATATTTAGTATCAATGGATCATGTTCACATATTCAAAATCCTATACCTTCATACAATATTACGTTGTAGTAACTGAATATTATCCTTCTATAGAGTGGTATTTCTCAAACAATGAACAGTTTTTGGTTTTTGAACTGTATTCTAAAAGGGAAGAGGACGAGAGGAGAGATAATTTTGGATCACTAGATCTTTGCCTTGATTGGAGTTTTGGGAAATTTTTAACAGGTTTTACAGATTGAAAAAGTTTGAAATGCTCTGATCTAGGATGCCTGGGGAGACAAAATCAGAGAAATACCTTTTCCAGCTTCTAGCCAAACTGTAATACCGCAGGGATGACAAACATTGCCTTGAACAGCTAGCCAATGTATAATAAAGTTGTGTTAATAATAAAGGTTAGCCCACTCTACACTTCAGTTCTATAGGTCATTACTAACATTATCTTCTTTTGTCATTATTTGAAGGGCAGAACAATTACTGCATGGGCAGGCTTGGGGAATGTTACACATAGAAAACAGAGTTGCTTTATTATGCACAAGCTTTTCTTAAGCTAGACACAATGCAGAAATTGGAATGGAACAACTTGCCATGGTGATTTGCCACAGCCATCTCACCACAGCCCTCTTGACGTGGAACAACTCACTGTGGGACAATGCCACATGGGATAACTCAACGCAATAAATATTATCCCCCACTGTTTCTTTGACATTATTTCCATTGAAAAAAAATGGAAAGAATGTCAAAGAAAAATTGACAGATAACATTTACCACATTATTTCGCATCGAACTATCCAGGGCAAGTTGGCTATGGTAAGATGGTCGTGGCAGGTTGGCCACGGTGAAGAGTGTGGCGAGATGGCCGTGGTGAGTTGGCTGTAGCGAGTTGTCCTACCTAGACCCTCCAGAAATGGAGATTTCATTTCCCATAATTCCTCAGCCATCATGGCCGCAAAAAGAATTCTGGGAATTGAAGTCCACATATTAGAAGGAGGCCCAAGGTTGTCGGGATATTGTCTGGTATGTCCTTTATATAGAACCCTAGCTGGGCTCATGTATTATCTTGCAACAAGATGGCATGGCTAGCTGGGGGATTCTGAGAGTTGAAGTCCACCCCTCTTAAAGTTGCTGAAGTTGAAGAACTTTGCTTTAGTAACTACCACAAAGAGCCCAATATTGGTATTCAAACTCCACAACTGAGTGTCTTTGTTAATTAGGGTGCCCTAATTGTTCCAGCAACTGCTCTGAGGGCGCAATTCTAAAAAGTGCCTACAGAAAAAAAGGATATATGAATAATATTTCCTTTCTCCAGCCACCACCTTCAACCAATATATAGAGAGCATGGCACCTTTGGTCAATATTGATCAAGACTACACCCAGAATGAACCAGGAAAACCAGAGTATGACAAAACCTAGGGTTGCCACTTCTCCCTGTATTTTCAAGGTTCTGTGGTAGGCAGTATTCAACAGGTGTTTTTTAATCCCTTCATGCCACAACGCAGCAGTAAGGAGTGAAGATCTCTGTTCCCTCAAAGCTGATCTGTAACCCCACCAGATCTGTAAAAGCAAGTTGCTAAGTTTTTGCATATGTTCAGATGCTGTCCTCTCAGCTATTAGCAACGTTTGATGACAATGCTTTGTAGGAGCTGTAGTCAGCTAGCTGCTGAGAATTTATTAGAATAACAAATCTATTATTGATAATCTATTAGAATAATGAATAGATAACCATTAGAATAGAAGAATTGATCATTATGTTTTTATTGGTAATAGGGAGAAAACACAGAAGCATCCATGCTATTTTTGATTGGTCAGTCTTCTGACAATAATGAGAATTTGAATGTTTGTCTAAATTTGGTTCATATTTGTTTAATGTTAGTGTGCTAAGCAGACCCGGGCACCCACAGATAATTCTGGACTTACAACCATTCATTTAGTGATTGTGACACTGAAAAAAGTGACTTACAACTGGTCCTCGCACTTATGACCATTGCTGCATCCGCATGATCATATACTCAAAATTTGGACACTTGGCAACTAGCATGTATTTAAGACAGTTGCCACATCCTAGGGCCACATGGTTACTATTTGGAACTTTCCTAGTTTGCTTCTGACAAGCAAAGTCAATGTGGGAATCCGGATTCATTTAACAATTACATGATTCGCTTAACTACTGCAGCGATGCACTTAACAACCATTTGCAAAAAAGGTCATAAAATCAGGTGCAACTCATTTAACAACCACTTTCCTTAGAAACCGAAATTCTGGTTCCAAGTGTCCACATATGTTGAGGATTACCTGCACGTCACTTTAGCACAATTTAGGCAACCATACAATAGTGTGTTATGAAAACCCAAAGAGAAGCCTATGGACCAAGGGTGAAATTCAGCAGGCTCTGACAGATTCTGGAGAACCAATAGGGGAAATTTTGAGTAGTTCAAAGAACCGGCAAATGCCACCTCTGGCTGGCCCCAGAGTGGGGAGGGATTGGGGATTTTGCAGTATCCTTCCCTGCAACACCCACCAAACCATGCCCAAAGAACCGGTACTACAAAATTTGAATTTCACCACTGCTATGGACTACTATTCTTCAGCCTTGGCAACTTTAAGATCTGTAGACTTCAATTCCCAGAATTCCCATGGCTGGGAAATTCTGGGAGTTGTAGTCCACACATCTTAAAATTGCCACGTTTAAGAAACACTGCTATAGATATACACTCAATCGTTGGTTTCAAACTTGATTATGTTGTTTTCCGCTTTTTCACAGAAATGGGGCTATCAAGCTACACCAGCAAAGGAATTGATGAAACATCGAGGATCTGGCCACATCCCAGAAGAACCGAAAATGCCTTTTTACATGGCCCATGGGCGCATGATTCCATCCCCTAGTTACGTACCCCTAGGAAGACTACAAGGACAACTCTACCATAAGCCTCCCAATATAGGTTTACCCAGGACTTGGGGACATCTGCCAAGGCCCCAGTATGGGCATCAGCCACGGTTTTGAACTAACTTTGAAGTTCTGAGTCAAGGGGGTGGGGGTGGGGAAGAGAGCTCTGAGGTTAACCCAGATGCAGCTGGAAGCATTAGAGACAGAAATGATTACTTCACTGCAAGGAAGAATGAAAGCTGATTACAGGCTGGAACTCCTCACACGTTCTGCTATAGACTTCTTTTTTTTTAATCTAATGACCTTTCCCATGGTACCATTGCAAAATTAGGCCCTGAACTTGCTTCCTGTTTATACAGTGACAAATGTTTGTGTATCCAATCAAGCAAGCTGAACAATTTTTTAATGGGGTGGGATGAATTAGAAACCAGCATGCATCTCAGAAGCATTATCACAAGCTGTTCAACCATTTTGGGGTGAAGCTACTGAAACACCCAGAATCAATATTAAGTGACTGTCCACCTTTCCCCTGGTACATGTTGATAAAAATGGAAGTTGCCTATGCATTCCTGGGTTTGGAATTAAAAGAAGGAAGTTGCTCTATCTATCTTAGATTGTATTTTAGACTCCCTTCCCCTATGAGACTGAACTGAAGGCAGACAGAAAGTAGAATGAGATTTTAAAGGGACCAGAGTCAGTATATTAAACTTCATCCTCTGAGAGGATGCATTCAGAGAAGAGAGGTGTTGGAGTGAGTGTTTATAAATCTCTGGAAACAAATGGAGAAAAAAGAGAAAAAAACAGTGATTCTGGGAAGCCAGTAAATAGAAGAAAAACATATCTTCCATACATATTTCATGGAAGATGGAAGAGAAAGACTATCTAGTCCTCTTGCAATCCACTTTAAAGTCCATCAATGAACACTACATTATAGAGCATGGGTGTCAAACTCGCAGCTCACGAGCCAGATTTGTCACACGCTGCCACACCCATCTCCGGTTTAGCGAAGGGGGGGGTGGAGTCGTGATACGTCATGTGATTACATGACAACGCGAGTTTGACACCCCTGTTGTAGAGTAAATACTGGGAGCAAAGAAGGAGTGTTCCCAGAGTATGGTCAACAAAGTCAAGATGGCAGCCACAACACAACATGAGCAGAGCTTTGATTACTTCTTTGAGTCCACCATCTTGACTCTTTGACCATACCTTGCGGATCCCCCTGGAGCAAATCTTATAGGTTCTCTGAAACTCTTTGGCCCCGCTCCCAAATCCAATCCTTGAGCATCTCAGATAAATGAATTCCATAATATCATAATTTCCCATCTTCTCTTGATGTGTTTGCAGGGGAAACTTAATTGTACCACAACCCAATGTTTTATGGGAATGACATGACCTTCCATTTCAAAACCTCGATTGATGTTAGCTCTTAAATTCTAGCAAAAAAAATGCTAAGGAAAAACAATAGGATAACTACAGAGATAGCTCTGGGAAGCATCAGACTGAGATACCTGAATACATTTAGCTTAGAGAAGAGATGGTTGTGACTGAGGAGGAATGTGATAATGTCTGAAGAAGCTCACAATCTGTTCTCTGCCTCTTCAAAGTGTGGGATGTGTAACTGATAGCCTTCAGTTACAAGAAGGCAAATTCCAATTTAATTGCCAGGAAAACACCCTAACAGGAAGTGAGATACAACAATGAACCCATATTCAAGGAGAATCTTGACAACCGCTTGTCAGGGATGTTTTAATGTTGGATTTTTGCCCTGAGCAAAGAGTTGTTGCTTGGTTGTTCTTAAGGGACTCTCTATAATCCTGAGTTGAATTATAAATTTAGTGATAACAAGATTCAATTTGTTTTTAACCTCATCCCTGCTTTGCACAACAATGGAAGACTTGAATTCAAATGTATGTTCATCGTTTTGCAACATTTGACTGGCCCTAATGAAATGTTTGTCTTAGTTATATTTTTGATGCTTTTCTTTATGGATCAATAAAACTTTCTTTGCTATTTTGTTCATTGATTCAATGAAGATGGAAAATGAATTCATACATATTTGAATCCAGCTAAAAAGAGAATGTGAGAGAAAAAGAACTAGGTAATTAAATTGGAAGTTCATATAAACCTATGATATTTTACATTCTGTTCAGAAATCTCCAGTGTTCCTGATTGACTAGTGTTTTAAAATAACTGGAAAATATGCAATAGAGATTCTGAGTGCAAAGAAAGAGAAAATGTGATTGTATCACCTAGCAATTTTAGGAAATAGATTTTGCTTACTAAGACCCATCTCAAGAGTCTGTAATCCTTGCAGAGAAAGTCCAACGAAGAGGCCCTTTTCTTGTTGATATTTCTGCAACACAGGCCCCAAAGTTCAAGCTACTTTTCTTTTTGCATAAACCCTGTCTGCCAAGTGCAAAATTATAGAGAATATATTTATCTAACTGCCTGTATCTTATACACATATTTTAAACAGGTAGAATCAATCATCTTTTGGATGAAGGAATAGGCTCTGTGCGGATGCTTAGGTCAGGAGTTATTTTGAATACAAGAATTATGCTTGTAGTGTTTTACACACACAAACACACACACACACACACACACACACACTTTCACTTTAGCAGCCTAGAATGGAATGGAAATTAGACCACTTGGCCATCTCCTGAAGATCACTGGGCAATCTCTCATTATATTCTAATTTGCCTTCTATTGGTCCCTGGAAGAAAAGCTGCAATGAATGTAAATGCTTTGCTTCCATAGGTTTTAAAGCTGGAGACATCAATATGCTTATGGAGATTGTCCTTGGCACCACCAGTCACCCCATCTCACCTGCACATATCCATTGATTGATTGTTTACCAACGCACATAAATCATGAAAAAGGACGCCATGTAACGCAGAAGAAAATATAATTTTTACTACTTTTCTAAGAACCCTGTAGGTGAACCACATGCCAGGTGTCCCTTCTTAAGCAGCACAAAAGAAATGCTAATATTATACATGTTTGAATAATTCATGATATCTCCTATGCCTCATTCTAATCAAATAGACATTTAGCCTGCTCCGGTCTGAGGAACTAATTTCCGAAGCTCCTTTTAATACAATCTCATTAGCTATTAACACCAAGTATCAGAGTGTTAGGTTAACATGCATTTTTTTATAAAGGCCTTAGAAAAATAGGGATATTGTGCCCTCTATGGGCTGGATTCCATTTTCAGGAGTAACTTCACCTTGAGATTAAATCACCTTCACCTTGAGATTAAATCTGAAATCTGAGTGCAATTCTGTTTCCACTTTTTATGATGAACATTTTCCGGGATCTTGTAATGCCAGAGTTTCTTTCTGGATGCTATGGCAAGATAATCAGTACAAAGCTCTGCCACCAGCTACAAAAGAGGCAAGGGAGAAAATAATTAGATATTCAAAGGCTCCATAGTAGGAATCCTGTTTTCCTGCTTCACTAGATCTGGTTAGATGATTCATCCATTTAATGAAGAAAGGTCAGGAGTTCCCCAGCCTAAGACTATTTACATCATATCCTGTGACCAGAGGTTTATTACAAAGAAAGGCCGTGTTCCTTTCTTTGCTATGGCGGTGCCTTTGCCATGAAGTGGAACACTTGAGAGACCGCCTACTGCCAATTACCTCCACTAGACCGATTCGATCGCATCGATTAGGCCTCCTCCGAATCCCATCTTCTAGCCAGTGCAAACTGGCAACTACCCGGAGGAGAGCCTTCTCGGTGGCTGCTCCGTCCCTTTGGAACGAACTCCCCGTGGAGATTCGGACCCTCACCACCCTCCAGTCCTTCCGCGCCGCTTTAAAGATCTGGCTGTCCCGGCTGGCCTGGGGTTAAGATTGTAGCCCCTCTCGAATTGTACGATTGTTGTGTTTTCTTTTTAACATGCTGTATTGTCTATTGTTTGTCTTCTCCCCCTCCCTCTTTTCAACTGTGAGCCGCCCTGAGTCCCCCCAGGGAAAAGGGCAGCATACAAATAAAGGCAAAACAAAACAAAACAAAACAAACACCACTACCTAAAATTGGGGAGTTTGTCCCACAAATCTGGAAGGGGACAGATTGGCAAAGGCTAATTGAAAGCAATTAAAATGACTTGAACCTACTGGGATCAAATCATTTAAAGTGACTTCAACACCTAATTGGAATGTTATCTGAACATCTAACCAGGATCTCATTTGAGATGAGAATACCAATCTCAAATGAGACATAAAAGCCTTGAAAAAAAGGTCAAAGGTCCCAGCTAAATATAGAGAGACTCACCTGGATCCAGCTGTACAAGGCATCGGAGAGGCCTATTTTGCTGGAATTTGAGGATGATCCCAGGTAACCCTTGTAGGAAGTGAATGCTGTCCTTGTAACCTTGCTCCAAGCAGAGTCTAGAGAGATTGATGTTATATCTCTTCCACAATATTGACTCTAGCTTGGTCAATCGCAGGCCCAATGGAAATGGGCCCAGGATACTTCCCAGCATTGAAATGACATTTACACCACCTAGACATAAAAGAGTGACATTAGCAAGGGGGAAAAACAGTTTTAAAGGCTACTTGAAATAGGTCTCTCTGTCTTTTGTCACCAAGTCAATATCTGTGTTGAAGATAAATTTCTGATTAGTACTTGGAAGTGCTTTCACATGTTACAGCACCACTACCACATCCAACCTGAAGGACCAGAGTTTTGGGTACAGCACATGTGCACTTATGGCAAGCAATCTGTTTGATGCATGACATTTCCATATAAAAGACATAAGGCAGATGTCTTGGTCCCAATAGCTTTTCATCTGATTCCTCTTGGCAATTGAGACTCAACGGACTTAACCTGTGAAGGTAGGTAGACCATGACCAATGCCTTCATCTTATCTTTATTCATTGCATTTTCTAAGGAAAGTTAGACACTGCCTCACCAGCTATTTTTTCTAATTCAATTGTCAGCAGAAGTTGTTTTCTCCAGCTGACAAAACTGTGGGCTGCTGCTGAAAACTCTTCCTGGTATACAAACCTACTGAAATGGATCTCTGTATTTATGGGATGTCTCACTTTCCTTCCTGGAACTCAAACTAGCATTCATTAAATTCCCTCCTTCAGTATTTCCCACTACAACTTGCTGGAGTAAGCTGGGCTGAGAATTAGCTGGTGGCTCAGCAAGATTCCAAGGCTGAAGCTGAACTGGAACTGAACTGACTCTCACCAGTCCTAGCTTAACATCTGTTCTAGCTTGGAGACAAAGTGGGCTGTGTTGCTCTAGATCAGTGTTTGTCAACCTTGGCAACTTGAAGGTGTATGGACTTCAACTCCCAGAATTCCCCTGGAGAGAATTCCATGGAGGGACAATTCTGGCAGTTGAAATCCATATGTCTTCAAGCTGCCAAAATTGAGAAACACAGTCCAGGATTCTACAGAAGCAATCCTTTTTTTTTCAGGGCTTCCCAAAAATAATGTTCCTGAAAGAAAATAGAAGATCAGAAAATTATACTGGCAATCAGATTTTTTTTCTCTTCTAATTTGAAAGAA